TATCACCAACTGTCTGAACCACCTCAGGAATGACCAAAAAAAGGGCCCAGATACTCCACAAGTGACCATGGTGATAGAAGAAATCAGAGTTTCTACCATGATGAAGTTTCAATCTCTCAAGGAAACTAGATGCATCAAAATGTCAACAAATAATTGAGTGACCACAAGGAATTTCCAAGAGAGACAAATAGGTAATAAGACTTACAGAATCAATGTTAGCTGGGGGGACTAGAAAAGTTGGGACCCAGCTGGACTCTGGACCATGGCTAAGATGAGGAACAGCAAAAGACATTTCAGGAAGGTATAATTGTAGAAGGAGGGGAACCAACATGTACTCCTTTCAACTGGGATTCAAGCTTTGGTGATGGGAGGCCTGATGAGACACGTTTTCTATTTTAATCCCTGTACCTAGCACAGCACCTGACACAATGAAGAAGCTCAGTGATATTTGCTTAAAATAATAATAATAATAATAATAATAATAATTAAATGATGGGTTTTATTCAATACCTTTATATGTCAGATGTATCCTACACACTGAATGAAGGTAGAACTTCATTCCAAAATAATACTAAGTGCAGAGAAAAATACAAAGCACAAGGACACATCCCCACTCAAGTTAGAGAAAGATGTGCACACATCTAACTATCTCTAACTACCCTTAGCTCCAGTGGCAGAAGCAAAGTGCCATGCAACCAATATGAGCCAAATGCTCAGGATTTGAAAAAGAGTAATCAATGAAAGCTTGGCAAAACAGGTAAAATCTGAAAAGAAAAGACTGGAAGCATTCAATAAGTGGAAATGCTGTGGGAGAGTGCACCAAGAGAAGGGAGTAGCAAAAGTAAAAGAATCAGAGAGGGAGTACTTGCCTGTCAGAACTTTTCCACCCTCTTCTGTGGGTGCTCTGAGCCCTGAGAGCAGATCTCTAAGGTATGCCTAAACTGATCTCCCTCATCTTCTGGCTTCTCACTGAGTTCATCCAAGAGAAAGCATCAGCAGAAGATTAGAGGACAGAAAAAGAGAGAGGTCAGGATACTTATTTCCCAGCCCTTTCCCTGCCTGCCAAGCCCCACCCAAGCCTGAGCAATGAATATATTCTTCAGCTGAAATCCTGGGTTCCTGTAGGGTAGCCCTCTCCTCAGCTGCAGTCCTAACAACTAACTGCTCCCTTAACTTAACATCTCCCCAAACCAATATAACTGCTTCACCGCCTTTGGTGGTTTCCCTTGAGCCTGCTTGCACCTTTGTAAATAGTTATTTCATTAAACACTGAGTGTGCCAGCTGTTACCCAGAGACCTCAACTGATACAATGAGAAGGGCCAGAATGTGTTTGAGCAATGGCAAGCCAACCAGATTTGAGTGAAACTGAGATGACTAGACAAGAAAAGAAATATCTTAACCAGATTATAAAGAGATATGCTAGGAAACTGAGACTTTTCATGGAAAAGACAAAGTCTTGAAAGTGAGAGAACAGAAGGTAGCTAGAAGAAGACAAATCCAATCTCGAAGCAAAATTATTCAGGACGAGAAACAAAACCAGTTGACTAGTTCTGTTACTCAGTTAAGAGTCTATTGCAGTGGTGAACATGAGTGATAAGTGTGTGCCAGCATTAGAAATGTAGATAATAAAAAAAACAGAGAGGCTTGGAAAAGAGAATGGTAAGAAGTGGGATGGGCCCCTGGGAGTAAAACAAGCAGCTGAAGAGAAAAGAATTATGTGAGCAGAAATAGGGGCATTAGATAAGGGCCCTCATTAGGCTAATTTTGCTACTTGGGTTAGAGATTTAGGAAGTAGAATCACTTGGTATAGAAATTGCCTGTGAACAAAGAGGAAGAGGACATCCTAGGGCAGGCGCATTCTGGGAAGAGGAAGTTTGGATAGACATAGGTTATTAACAGTTATTAGGCTTGAGCTTAATCCTAGACAACCATACTGCCACCTAGGGCTCACAGAGCAGCAACCTGCCCACCAAACCTGCAGACCAAGTTGTGTTTTGTTTGACTCACAGTGTTTTCTTAAAGCTTGGATTAGTTGCTAGCATTAAATATTTGGGAGTTATCACCCCCAAATTTCCATATTTTGGCCTCTTTGACAATAGCAGGCCCACATTCTCACATGGAAATATTTGGCTGGAGCTGAGTAGTCACTAGCCATCTTTGCCCTGCACAAAGTTCCTGTTCACACCCTGCCTAAATGACTCATGGAAGTTTCCTGCCCAGGCCTGGTGTGGATTTGAACCTGTAATCCCTCTAGTGACAATGAGAATTTCTGGAAGTTCTTAATGAAACTAATTTAGCAAGATACCCCGAGGAAAGCTGAGGGAATGAACTGGAAAAATTTGGTTGAGTTCAGCATTTTGAGTGTTTATTATATACCAGGCATTATGCTAGGCACTGCAGAGTCCATGGTGAGAAGAATCTGTCTACCAGATGTGATGGCACATGCCTGAAATTTCAGTAACTTGGGAGGATGAGATAGGAGAATTGCAAGTTCAAGGCCAGTCTCAGCAACTTAGCAAGGCCCTGAGCAATTAGTGACACTCTGTCTCAAAATAGTAAATTTTTTAAAAGACTAAATATAGTGGTGAAGTGCCCCTGAGTTTAAACCCCGGTATCCCAAAAATAAAAAACKAATAAAGAAGAGTCTGTCTAAAAGAGATGATCAGGAATATGAAGATTTGTTAAGTTTCTGTTTCAGAAATGCAGGTAGTGGGTCTAGACAATGGGAACAGAAATGAAAATAAATATGACACACATGTTAGTTATTGGGAATAAAGAAGAAGGAAGAAAGCCCAGTATGGTGGTACGCACCTATAATCCCAGCTACTTGAGGGGCTGAGGCAAGAGGATCTCAAGTTTGAGGGTAGCCTGGGTAACTCAGCAAGACCCTGTCTAAAAATGAAATAATGAAATGAAATAATAATAATAATAACAGCTGAAGACAGTACTGCAAAAAATAAAAAAGAAGAAAGAATGTGAACTATGACACATTACCTTCCTGTACAAGTAGATACAATGAGCTTAGGGTGCAGCAATATTGGATTACTCAAAGTAAAGGTCCAAAGTATGGTGAGAGAGAAGGAAAGGACCTGCCCTGAAAATCTTGAAAGCATTATGCAAGTTGCACCCTTCCTCTTGGCTCACCTCCCCTTGCATACAACAGTGCTGTTCTTGCCTGTGCGTTCAGGAACTGGATTACTATATTACTAGCAAATAAAGAAAATTAAGCAATCTTCACTTAGCCCTGCAATCTACCATGGAGCTCTTCCTCTGGAGCTATTACCACTCCAAACATTTGTTTAAACATTAAGCTTCTCCAGTGCTAGATCATCCAGCTTTACCAGTGCTAGATCATCCAGGAAAGAGAAACAATCATACACAACTCTCTGACGATTAAAGACTTAGAGCTACATTGGGCTTCTTTAGTTCCCCAACTCTTTAGGGACAAACTATGAATTTTCTTCAAAGAATTACTGATTGAGAATTATTAATGAGGACTTTGCAATGAAGCAGTGACTCCCTTTGCTGCTGAGAAATTTCCTGCCAGTTTCCTTAGCCTATACTTACACTATTTTATAATCAGAGAAAGCATTATAATGGAAGGATTGACAATTTCACCAAACTAATATACAATTGCTAAGCAGATAACAAAAATTATATTTTCTGCTTGTGGTGGGAACTTGACTTCTCATGTTCTAGTGTAGGAGTAAGCACACCTTGGGTCTCTTTCAACTCGATCATGCACAGCTGGCTTTTATTTACTATTTGTTTATTTGTTTGTTTGTTTGTTTAGAATGCCTTTATTTTGTTTATTTTTATGTGGTGCTAAGGATCCAACCCAGTGCCTCACACTTGCAAGGCAAGTGCTCTGCCACTGAGCTGCAGCCCCAGCCCACAGCTGGCTTTTAACCAAGTATATTTCCAATTTCTTTGCAAGGTCTGCCTAAGCCTATGTGTGCCCATGTGCAGTCTCACCAGAGAAGCTTATTATGAAATTAATTTGCTCCCAGTCACACAGCAAGAATCAGCTTGCACCTTGGTTTTCTGAATCTGTTAAATTATCACAAGAAAATTATTCATCAGCCTGAAGAACATTAGGATTCCCTCTCAGAGTCTCACACATAAGGACGCTTTGAAGGATGGAGTCATTGTAAACAGAAACAGGATAACTACTCAAGCATATCATTCCCTAGAATGCAGTGTGTGAAGTCTTACCACAATGAGGAAAGACTCTTTAATTACAAATTATACATCTGCTATTTGAACCTGGTTGGAGAGATGCTAAGTTCACTCCTTCACTGGTTAGGACAGAATCAGATGTACAGATGTAACAAGTGTGTCAGGTTTCCTAATAGCTCACACCTTTCCTATGTCCAACTAGATGACACAGTTTCCTGTTCGTGGTGCAGCTTCGTCTGAGGGTGTGTCAGGAGTCAGGAGTCAGGAGTCCCAGGTTCCCATTCCAGGTAGTTCCAGAAAGGGCTTGGCCTTCATCATTCTGGGCCATGCTATCTTTATCAATGGGAGAAAGAGCTGAGTCTGATAGCTTTGAAGTTCCCTTCCTTCTCTAAAACTTGATGTGCCTCTCAAGGAGAGAAAGGGAAATGGAGGTTCATAGGCAGGCATTCAAATACTTGTTCTAGTAACAAATATAATTGTTCCAATGAGCTGTGAATTTTTATGGCAAAGAATGTCAGGGATTACGAAACCTGCAACATAATCAGAACAGAAAATATACTTCCTAGTCTCTTTGCCCAAATTCCACACCTGCATCATGATCCACTATGATTCACTGGGCAGCTACTATGGATAGGTGTTTGATCCCAGGCATAATAAAAACATATGAAAAAATCATTTACAGAAGGTTTGATACATGGCTGGCATTTTATAGTGCACAATTTAATTTCTCACAACAACTTTTTTTTTTGGTGTGGTWGTGGGCATGAACCCAGAGGTATTCTATCACTAAGCTACATCCTTTTTATGCTTTTATTTTTAGACAACATCTCCCTAAGTTGCCCAGGCTGGCCTTGAACTTGCAATCATCCTGCCTCAGCCTCCCAAGATGCTGGAATTACAGGTGTGTGCTACCATGCCCAGCTATCATCAACATTTTATAAATGAGGAAATGGAGGTTGTGAGACTCATTTCTCTGAGTTTAAAATAAGTGGATGTGTCTACTTGGCTTTAAAGGCCCTTCTTGCTCTGTGATTCAAAACAAGCTTAGATTTGATCACCTAGACCTTGAAAAGCCCATCGTTATCATATAAAACAGATGGCCAGAGAATGAGATGGCCCCTTGTGCATCTCAAGCATCATGAAGGTGCTCACAGAAGCACAAACTTACATATCCAAGACTCAGTACTTTCTTGGGGAATACTTACAATCTCAACTCTACACATCGTGGTTGTTAAGACACATTGTTTTCCTATGGAGACACCATGGGCCACTTTGGAACAAATAGCCAAGAACAAGAAAGTACCATAGAATACAATCCATCATATCCCTTCCAGAGGGTAGGATTTGCTCTCAGGATAATTACAGGTATTTCCTCTCCATTGATGTAGATAAAGCTGGGGCTGCTGGCTTCCAAATAGACCAAATGAAAGCTCCCTGAGTGCTGAGCTAGGCTTGGAAATTCATTATGAGTAGGAGGGAGTTTCCTTCCGGTAGTTAAAAATGGTCATTAACACCATCACCTCAGAACCCACCATGTATAAATATAAAGCACCTATTATGTACAGAGCATGATAGCTAGCCTGAATCATTCAATGAAGATGCCAAGTTCTTCTTTTCCTAACAGAATCATGAAGGTGAGTAAGGCTTTAATGACACCAGACAGGATCCAAAGGACCATTCAGAGTGTCTGTGTGGAGTAAAGTCATCCCTTGTGTCCATGCAGGACTGGTTCCAGGAACCCCCACTGATACAAAAACTGGTTAATGCTCAAGTCCCTTATATAAAATGGCATGAAATTTGCATATAACCTACACACAACTTTCATATAACCTACACACAACTACAGAAAGTCAATTGTACTAGACTCTTGTGAGTAAGTAGGCAGCGAGGCAGCCTAGAGCAAGTGACAGAGGTGTCAGAGTCATAACTTAAAAGAGAGGGTAACCATTTGCTAGGAATTCATGACAAAATACCCCAGACTGGGTGGTTTAAACTCTCATAGTTCTAGAGGCTGAAAGTCCAAGATCAAAAAGACAAGATTCTCTCGAGGCCCCTCTCCTTGACTCGCTACCTTTTTTGTGTCCCCACGTGGCCTTTTATCAGTACATCTATGCCCCTGATGTCTCTTCTTATTCTTATATGAACACCATTTATATTGGATTAGGACCCCACCCTAATAACTTCATTTAGCCTAATTACCTCTTTACAGGCCCTATCTACAAATATAGTCACATTCTAAAATACTAGGGGTTAGGATTATCAACATATAAATTTGGGGGAGGGACATAATTCAGCACATGACATCAGTATTTGCCCTTCACAAAGTTATAGGCACCTAGCCCCAGTGTGTTCTAAAGTTCCTATTCTTCACAAAGTTGTCTCCCCACCCTCTACTCTAATTTAGTACTTTCACAGAGATGGTGGCTGGACCCACTTTTCTGGAGTATTATTACCATCTATACTTATTGGATTATATACACTTTTAAGGCTAGGAATTAAGAAGCAACTAGTTGGGCCAGGTGTGGTGGCACATACCTATAATCCCACTACCTTTGAAGGCTGAGGCAGGAGGATCCCAAGTTGAAGTCCAGCTTCAGCAACTTAGCTGTCTCAAAATTAGAAGTACAAAAAGTGGGGATGTAGCTCTGTGGTAGAGTGACCCTGGGTTCAAGTGTCAGTACCAACAACAACCAAAAAAAAGTGACTAATTGGTTTCAGGCATAGTCTAGGCAGTTTTTAGCAAGGTACCAATCCTGCTCCTATTTACCAACTCTTCAGAATCAGAGAGGAAATTTGTAGTTGGTAGTGAACAAGGAAAGGTGAAAAGGAACAGAGGATAGAAGAATGTATAATATCTAGGTCCAGAAACATCTCTTCATGAGTCTGTTTCCATTTCTTCTAAGACATTTCCTGTATTTGAACACATCATATTAACAAGCCCAGATGCAGTCAAGATGGAGAAGAAACTTCTGCAAAAGAATCCTGGTTTCAATCAACACTCAATTTCATTTTCACTGGCAGAACACCAGCCACACAGATCCACACAGAGACCCATGGGCTCTGGCTGACATTTCAAGCACTCTAGTACCAGGTGTGTTTATGTAAATATTTGTTCAGTGAATTAAAAAAGCAGCATCTTACAGTTTAAACAGGGTCAATTCCCAAACCACCAGCTGTCTCTTTGATGAATTTTCTTTTTAGCTGCAGTCACAAGCAACCTTCTCTAACCCATCTATTCATTTAATAAATATTTATTGACGGGCTGGGGATGTGGCTCAAGCAGTAACCCGCTCACCTGGCATGTGCGGGGTGCTGGGTTTGATCCTCAGCACCACATAAAAATAAAGATGTTGGGTCCACCAAAAACAGAAAAATAAATACTAAAAAAAAAAATTCTCTCTCTCTCTCTCTCTCTCAAAAAAAATATAGATAGATAGATAGATAGATATCTTCCAAGTATCAGGTTTGGATTTAATGGTGATAGTCAAAGTTTGGGAAGGAGACAGACAGATTCTAATAAATGGTACTTATTTCACACCTCTGTGCCAGGTAGTACCCCGTTTGTATTGTACAGTGAAGAAGCTAAGGCTCAAAAAAGTTCAAAACTAACATCAAGATGCTAGTTAATAGAGTGTCAAGGCTAGAAGCTAAGTTACCTAACTTTCTGAATAATGCTTTGTACTATCAGGGGATCTCAACCTGGGACCCATGGACTGGATTTTTTAAAAACTTAATTTTCACTAATACCTAATTTAAATTTAATATTTCTTCAATTATGTATGCATGCAGAAGCCACAGCAGTATTAGCAGTTATCTATAACCTTGTCAGCAATAGAAATTTGATATTTTCTTTTATTACAGGTGTCACCTATATTTTGAAATGTTGTTTACATTCTCTACTATTTCCAAATTATGATAGCTATTAGATTCAAAACTTTATAGACCTTATAATTTAATAATGCATTAATTTTAAAGCACATATTATATCATAAATTCTTTTTTAATATTTTGACAAGTATATTGCAACTGGCTTCTTTTATAATCCTCTGCCTTTTATTTTATTTTTTAAAAGTATTGTTCTAAGAAAAGGTCCTTATTCTTCTCAGAACTACCCAAGGGATAGTGACACAAAATGGGTCAAAACCCTGCATTATACCAACGGGCATATCCAGAGGCTTTCTGCTCATTGTGTCTTAGAGAAAGAAGCTAGGTTAGAATTTTGCTAATTAAAAGAAAATGAAGAGGAAAAGAATGAGCCCCAATTCCACCAAAGACCCTTTATCCCTCTTTGCACTAATTTCCTGTTCAGTGCATGATTTAAATTCCGTCTTCCCGCTGGTCCCAGGCCGCTGCCCCTTGAGTGCCCCTTGGTCTCACTGCCAGTGTGGATAAATGTCTCAGAACTGTGGACATCCATCAATCCAGGACCACCTGAGGCTGTGCACCAACTTCCAACTCGGCGTGGTGCTGAGTGAGTCAACAAGTGGAAGGCACCAGAAATTCCCATACACGGAGATCACGGATACCTCCGGGGGAGGGGGAGGGTTCGGCTAAGAGTGACACCTCGGTTTTAACTGTCCCTCGCAGGTCAGCCTCTCCGGTGTCCCCGGAGATTCCAACACTGCAAGAAAGAAGCCAGAGTCCCAGGAGCTAAGTTCCAGACAAACGCAGCGTGAGCTGCTGCTGTCCTGTCCGGAGGATGGGGAAGGGAAGAGAGAAGCTGTGTGGAGGGTGGGGCAGCCGGGTCTGCGAACTCCCAGCTGATGGTGGGAAGTAAGGCCAACAACCAGCTCCAGGAGTGCCCTCTGTCCGTCCCCCCCACCCCGCGCCCCCCAACGGAGAACCTGAGATCTGGAGATCTAAAGGTTGTGGGAATCCTCTTACCAAAAGTGACCGAAGCCTCGGGCCACAGCGTTGGCGCTGCAAAAACTGCTGCTCCCTGCTGGGACTGAGCACCTCGGCTGGAGCCCCGCCCGGCCGCCTGGAGGCGGGGAGAGGGAGGCTCCCCCCAGGAAAAGAAAGGGCTCTCCGCAGCCACGCCTGGAACCGCACCCCGGGAGACCACATCCGGGCTTTGAGGAAGAACTGAGGACAGAACCACCAGGAGGGTCTAGTCCACCCAGATTCTGCCAGCAGGGTAGCCTCGGGACACCTATCCCCCAGAGTGCCCAGGAGTGCGGCCCTGTCTGCGTTTGTCAACAGAGAACACTAAGGCCACCTGACGCTCCTGCCCCTGGGTGCCAACAGAGTTGCGCAATCCGGACTGGCAAAGGCAGAGGCATGGCACTGTGGATAGAGCCTTGGCAGTGTGCTGTGGGATCATCCCGTGTGCGCTGCATTTCTCATCTGGTTCTCACCGAGAGAGAGAGAGAGAGAGAGAGAGAGAGAGAGAGAGAGAGAAACGGCTTTTCCTGCTCAGCTCAAGGACTTTCAACTTTCGGTCAGAGTGTGAAGTCTGGGGTCAGATGGCTTCCAGCCACTGGCCACTACATCCTGTTCCGTTCCATTTTCTTGACTAGACTTTTTCTTTTCGCTTTGTTCTACTTTTTTTGTTTATTTTGGTTTTGTAGTACTGGGATTTGAACCCAGGGGCGCCCTACCACTGAGCCATATACCCAGCACTTTTTATTTTTTAATTTTTGGTCAATGACCCTCTCCAACTTGCAATCCTCCTGCCTCGGCCTCTGGAGTCACTGGGATTATTTCTTTGTGTACCATGGCGCCAGCTTGACAATAAACTGTTCTTTTTAGATGAAAGCAAAGTGAAGATGAGCGGTTCTCCACTATATCAAATCCAATGAACACTTTTTATCATACAGTGTCCCAAAAGTCTTACTACAGTTTTAAAT